CCCTGTGTGCCGCAGAAAAAATGGTTGCCCACTGCTCTGGGTGTGTGTTATGTGTGTGTGTGTGTGTGTGTTTACTACTCACTGCTGTGTGTGTGCACTTGGATGGGTGAAATGCAGAGCACAAATTCTGAGTATGGGACACCATACTTGGCCACACGGCACGTCACTTTACACAAAGACATTATTTAGTCAGTCGCTTTCCACACACACCAAATGTAGGTGATTTCAGGCTTTACTATGCTTCTTCAGCTTGTCTACTATCTTTCTGTCTTTCATATTCTCAATGTTTTGTTCTCTCTTCATCTGAGCTGAACATCACTCTGTATGCTGAGCTGCATTTAATTCTGTTTCATTCTGATTTTATGGCATGAAGCACAAACTGGTCTGTCTGTGTGTCCATCTGCTTGGCTGTTTAAAAAGGGTTGCTTAGCCCAGGTGTCCAAGACTGAGGTTCATTTGTACACATTTTCTTCAATGTCTCTTTTTCTCTCTTTCACGCAAACATTTTTGTTTAATTCATTTTGACAATTTTGAGATCACTGGTAATTTCTGCAGCAATGATAATACCATGTATTGTGATGTATACCATGTGACTTAATGATTACCAATGTTATTTACTTAAGTAATAAGCAACTCGAGGCCATTTGTTTGTTATCATTTATAATATAATGCTGTCTTTCTAAACTTTCTATATATATTTTTTTTGCTTAAATGAATAAGAAATTAAAATCTAGTGTGAACAAGAAACTGTTCAATGTTCAAAGACCTATAACTTTCCATTTTGAGAAAAAAAAAAATCTCATTCGAGAATTGAGCCAAAGTGATTCAGAAAAACTGTAATAAGAAATCCCATGCCCAAAAGTGTACATGTCAAAAGAACACACTATAGAACTTATTTATACTTTAAGTCACTACTTTTTTGATAGTGATGACTAACATTAAAACTTTCTATGCCATAGTCTTTGATAACTGTTTTCATGATACAGTTTGCCACTAAAAACCTACAACAAACTCTCACTGTAACCGAGTTAGAGTGACCCAAGTTCATTGTTCTTATTTAGCCCTGTTCATCACAAACACATTTCAGTCCTATTCACCTCAGTCCAGAACAAATCACCATATATAGGCACACTTCTCTGTATTCCAAATATTTAGCTACTCTAAGGTTTCATGAGGCTAAAAATATCTTGTCTAAATTCATTAGCTCAGCACCCACACACACATGCAAATCTGAAGATTTGGACACTGTAAAATGAGCCCACTGTCTGACACAATAAACACAATACAATAGCAATAATGTGTGTGTGTGTGTGTGTGTGTGTGTGCCAGAGGTTTACCACATTTCCTCTGAGGAGGACACTCCTTATTCACACACAAACACACACACACACACACACACACACACACACACACACACACATCTTTATTAAGGAGGAATTAAAATCACCTGAAACAGCTGGCGTGAGGATATTTTACTACCCGAGGTGGGCCGGTGGGATGATAGAGATACATACAGTACGTGTGTGTATGCTTTCTCTTTTTCCGTTTTGAGTTTTGCAGATGTAGCAGTAACACCAGACCCACCACCTCACAGCCCCTCCCAGTGTCTTATTTCACACACACAAACACAATACTGCTTATCTTTGTAGCTGACCTTGTGGTGTACATGACAAAATAAAAAGAGAAAATGTTCATATAATCTTAGAGTGTAATAGAGTTTTCCTCTCTTAATGAATTATAGAAATAAAGGTGGAGTCGCAGTGGTGGCAGAACGCCAGGAGAATCGTCAAAGGAGTGAAGTATACAGCTCTATGATTGGTGGGATTAAATGAACATGCTCCTGCCAGACGTTCGTTTGGCATTCCACAGACGTGTCTCCTCGGAGAACCAGATACAGCATCCAAACATCTACAGACGTGCCAAAACAACCTCACAGTTTACACTATAATAATCACAGACTACACTGACCATATATCTGATGATGTCACTCAGCACACTATGTTCTCTTTATTATACGAGAGTAAATAAATTACGAAAATCTGGACTTTGAGCAGAAAACTAATAACATTTTTGTAATAAAGTCATGGACAATGAAAATTAGACTGCAGGTGCACATCAGCCCCTTGTGCTCTGATGTGAACTTCACAGGGTTAAATCAATGTTCATATAAATCTCACAAAAAACATGTCTCCAATGACTAAATCTACAGAATTCACAAAAAGACTTTGCAAAATGTATAAAATAGTGAATCTGTCCAGGCCACATTCCACCCCAAAATCAAAAGATAAACAGAAAGAAATTAAAACTAAATTATTTATATATTGTTATATATGTTATATATTATTTATATAAAAATATTTGCATTCAGATTTTTTCCCCCATTATATGTTAGCACATTTTCCACAAAAATCTCATTGCCATAATATATTCAGGGATTTTTTTCCGAGGTTTTTTTTATTAGATTCTCATTACTGTAGTGCAATGTTGTTGTTGTTGTTTTTATCAGCATACATTTTTCAGCATAAATCAGCAGATATAATAAATATTACATAATACTATAGTATAAATACTTTAAATAATGCATCATTGTTTTTTTTTTCTTTTCCAAACAGTAATGAGAATGAGAATTTTTTTCACTATGGTAATAATCAAAATTAGTGTGCTTAATTAATGTTCAAGTGTCATGAAATGTCTCAATACAAACTTAATGATTAAATAAAACTGGCTCCATTTTTAGGACCACTTTCACCAAAATATAATTGTCTTTTTAATAATTTCCTATATTTATTTATTTATTGAATTTGGGGTGAAATATAAACCAAAAATATGAATATGGCCGGTTCTTAACAGTTGTTGTGAATTCACTGTCATGGAATTTGTCACTGACCGATTTTTTTTCCCTGAAATTCTTTCTTCAAAAAAGTTGGTGTTTTCAGTATCAAAATATATATGTGCATGTACTATCTATATGCTCATTTTATATGCTAGTTCCATAAAAATCATGTTTTATATTCAGCTATGTGAATAATATGAATCTATGACCTTTTATAGATAAGGTCTATGATTTCTACAGCAGTTTTTGTTTTTTGTTTTTACACATTTTATGCAGATCTATGAGCTCTATGCCCCTGGGCATCAACACTGCTCAACAATTCTTGAGATTTATACAATTGTTTGTGTCTGTTTTGTGTATCCAAGTTTTTTTTGTGTGTGTGACACAGACTACGCATTTAGGTTTATGTTTGTGTTTGTCAGTGTGTGTGTGTGTGTGAGTGTGTGTGTGGGTGTGTGTGTGTGTGTGGTAGCGCCAGTAAAGCTCATGTTTACATGTTTGTTGGTCTCTTCATGCTGTCCACTCGGTCCTCAAACACACCACACACTATGCGAGGGGTGGCTGTGAACAAACATGCATGCATGTGGGAGTGTGTACGCATGCATGAGAGACTCTTGTGTGTGTGCGTATGCATGTGTGATGGTGTATTTCTGTGTATGCGGGCATGTGTGCTTTTGTATGCATGTGTATGTGGATCATTTATGTATGCCTGGGAGTTTATTTGCATGCGTCCATGGTACTATGAGTTCCATCAGTGTGTGAATAAGTGTAGAAGAGAGTCTCTAACACACACGAGGAGAGGAGAAATCCAAACACAGTATACTTACACTGCAATTCCTCACATATCCAAGCTTAGATAGAAGAGAAAACACACAATCAATATCTGTCTCACTCTGATGGCATGAGGTCTAAATCTAAATGAGGCTCATTGCTGTTATGCTGTACTTTGCTGTACCTTTTTCTGTAATAAAATAAACATTCTTGTGTTATATTTTAAGGAAATATTTATTCAAAAGGGTACGACTTCAGAAATAAGCACTGGTAAATCTCAGGCACTTAAAATTCATTAATTATAGCTTAGTTATTTACTTCAAGAAAATGAACATGAAATAAAGTTAAAGCACTGAGCAAAAGTTAGCAATTGCTCAGTGAGTTAGCTTATAATTTCTGTAATTTTATCAAAGAGAGACAAACCAGCTATTACCACAAAACATCACAGAGATCATCCAATCCATTGCTAATACCGAATGATGATTTATGGTGTTGTTTTTCCACCCAAAACGTGTCACATTTTCTTAGTTAAAAATAAAATAATTTGTAAATAATATCGAAACTAAAAATGAAAAGTGATATATGATAAAAAAAATAATAATATGATCTCCATCTTTAAAAATTGTCAATTTAATATTTTATCCAGTTATGTTTGTCATAAAAATGTACTGCAAAGTAGGAATGACTGATGCCATCAGCTTGTCTTTGTAGACCAACCATTGATGAAAATTACAAATTTCTTATTGTTTCAGCAGATCAGAATAATAACCTAATAAAGACTCTAGAAATAGACTGCTGTTTAAAAATGACTGGAACTGTAAATCACCTTATAAATACCTGCTTCTTTCACACCTGTTTCTCAGGCTGATATGTGTTTAAAATCAGAATTTTTTTTGTCTTATTATGGCTCATCTAACAGAGTGAGAGTCATTTAAAGTTTTGAGCCAGAGAATTTAGTAACAATGAAGGTTAAGGCAGGACAGAAGAAGAGACATCAGACAGAGGGGCAGGAAGAGACAGAGACTGGGCATTTACCTTGTTGCGTTTGAAGTAGGCACGTCGACAGGCAGCGAAGCATTTCTCACTACAGAAACTCTTCAGTTCAGAGCCCATACTGAGACAATAACGCTTCCCTCCCACCTTCTGACACCACGCACACATTATCTGAACATTAGAGGTGTCCTCCTCTGAGAAAGAGAGAAAAAGACAAAGGATATATAAGGATCTATTCAGTCAACTTTCTGAAAAATAGTGAAATTTCAGATAGAACATAAACCATTGTTGTTTTTCTTCATATTACTGTTTTTATGAGACTAAATTTACCATACATTCAAGTACATCAACATATCCATAGATGGATTTATTTTTCAACCCTTACACTTGTAGACACTGATTCATCCACCACCATCTCAAAAACCTTTTTTAAACATATTATAGACAGACAGTATATAATGCAGAAACACATATACTCTGGGTGTTTGAACACCAAAGGCAATCTTTCCCTCACCAACCCACAAGGGGTTAAGAGAAACCTGTCATCATGCATCACCCCACACACATCAAGACTGTATTCGTTTGTATATTTCTTGTGTGTGTGTGCGTCAATCAATCTGCCTACATCACAGTGCATGCCACATGATATTCTTTCCCATCATGCTCCACTAACAACTAGAAGCTTGCGGGCACAAGTGTTCGGGTTTGGATGTTTGAAGTGTGAGCATATGTGAGTGTGTTTGGGAATGGGTGTGAGCGAGCTTCTGGGGCCACAAAGACACACACCAAGCCAACTGATTTAAATGCAACTGACATTGCCACAACAGAAAACTGTTCACTTTTTTGGTGTTTTAATAAGATTGAATTTTGTGAGATGTGACCTCAGATTTAGTATGTGATCATTTTAATGCGTCTGTCCATGTCAAATGATTTCTCCTCAGAGATCTTTTACATTCTCACCCTCTAGCAGCTGCTTAATGATCAGATAAATCTGAATGTGTGGAGAGAAAATGTCTGCCCATTAGACTTAACCTTTCTTCTCACCCCTCTCTCTCTGTTTCTTCTGTCTTTTGTAATGAGTGTGTAGAGCAAGTTATATTTTGAGAATAGAAAGATAGAAATCAATTCAGAATTATGTTAATCGTCTCCATTGGCTAAACATACAACATACTTCATTAATCAAATCCACTTTTGACCAGCCAAATCAAACTAATCAGCACAGGGAGAGGAGATCAGAGGAAAGAACCCAAAATCAAACATAGATTTTTCTTAGTAATTTCTGCACTCCTAGCTGCAAAAAAAAAAAAAAATTACAATCTAGTTAAGATTCCCAATTAGGCTGAAAATACAACATAGGCTTTACCAATGGCATGAACTGGGGACAAGGATACCTATTTGAGACTTCAGCAAACTTCCTGTTTGAAACGTACAAGAAGTCATTTATGATTTAAAGGGATAACACACTCAAAAATTAAAATTCTGTAATAATTTACCTTGTGCCATTCCAGACTCTTATTTTCTTCCACCAAATTCAAAAAGAGTTTGATGGTCATCCCCATCCCTTTTACTTTAATTGTATGCAAAAGAGCTGCCAGGACATTCTACAAAATATCTCCTTTTGTGTTCCACAAAAGAAAAAGTCATTTGCATTTACATTTTGCATTTGCACTTAAATTACAACTGTATACTTGATACTAGGGGCTGAGGTGGATCAGGGCAGGCATAATTTAGTCTTTTTTTTTGTGTGGCATTGGGTCTTTACACTGAATTTTGAGCAGGGACAGAGCAGCCTTAAATCCTGTAAAGATGCCTTTAGATTCAGTAGGCTGGGAAAAGTATATAAAAAGTATATAAAGATATAAAAAGAGCTTGCCTAACAAACTGCATCATACAGAGCAACAAAGACTCAAAGTGTTCCTCTACAACCCTCAAAATACAAACATTTGAATATAAATGGTTGCCATGGAAATTCTGTTTGTTTTTCCTCAGCACAGCCTCATTGCTCCATCCGAATCCTGAATTTAAGAGAGATTGTGCAAATGTGTGTGTGTTTGCAGAACATCCGGTGGTAAAGCAGTACATACCTGCACTTCAAAAGCCCTCTGTCACTATGCGCATGCTCATGAATTATTCAAGAGGGCCACAGGCTAGGGGCGGGGATGGGGAGGGGGGAGTTGGCTTCTGTTGCTGTGGTAGTTAGCGAGTCTACACCATCTGTTTCTCACCTCATCACAAACATTAACGCATACATAAATACAAGCGCACATACATAGACAGTGTTGGGGAGTAACTAGTTACATGTAACAGTGTTACCTAATTCAATTACAAAATAAATGTAACTGTAATCCATTACAGTTACTTAGAAAAAATGTGTAATTAAATTACAGTTACTTATGAAAATGTTAATGATTACAAAGGGGGTTACATCTGAATATTTTCACGCACACACAGATTTAATAGTTTTTTTCCCCAAACTGCATTGACTGCTCCTGCATTGACACCAATGCTTCAGGAGTTTAAGACACAAAATAGGACACATGCTTACGTGATAACCGTTTTATTTCCTATTTGGGTTTATGCATATGCTTTATTTTTTAAGATTAACTGTTTTTTTCCAAGGCATTGTTAGATGCCAGTGTTTCCTGTCATAGCTATGCAAAGATTTGATTTCAAAAACAACATTGTCCCTATTAAACTATTTATTGTTATTATTTTTAAATCTGTATTTAACCTCAGAATGATATTAAAATAAAGAGTCTGACAGTTATCAATGTTGAGTACTACTGTCAGGTTAACCCTGCCTGCTTTGGAAATAAATAACAGTTGAAAAAATTTGTTAGAAATTTAGAAAAGTAATCAAAAAGTAATCGAATGTAATCAGTTACATTACTTTAATAAAGAAACTGAAATAGTTACACTACTTATTACATTTTAAATAGAGTAACTTGTAATCTGGAATCTATTAAATTTCCAAAGTAACCTTCCCAACACTGCACATAGACATGCACACTAATACACCAGTGCACAGAACACTGGTTTAGGGATGCACCTCACCATGGTGCCGCCCCATCAGACACCATGATTTTGGTCTGCCGCACTACAACACACACTCTCAAGTGGACTCTCAGTGTCAAAATGCAAGCTCAACTGCATTACATTTACATTTATGATCAAGGACAGTTTTATATATAAAGCATGTTGAAATACTGTATACTATTAATTAAATTAATTAAAACTAAAATTATTAAAGCTTGTTTCACAAACCTGATAACTTGCAGTTCTGTAAGTGAATGATTTGTTGAAGTAACCATTCTGAAAGATTCAGTGAGTTAATCAATGAAAGATTCGGCAGACTAATTCAAGCCGGTAGCTATTGGCTACATCCGAAATCTCATACTCTCTGAGTAGGTTTTTTTTTTGAATAAGTAATTACTTTGCATTACTTTGGTCATGTAACCTACCAGCGTTAGCTGCATCACTTCACTGCCATTCACAAATCCTCTCCTGTGGCCTCATGGGATAGAAAAGTGCCTACTGGATGTGCACTTCAGAATCTTGCCAAAAGTAGTAATTTTTTGGGTAATTTTTTGCCTACTCTTTTATGAATACTATGAATTCGGACATACTACTCTTTTCACATACTGTTTATTACTGATTATATAGTTGGGAAGTATACATATTCGGATGCAGCCCAAGTATTTTTGAATGATTAATTTAAAGACTCATAAGAGTTATTCATGATTTGAACTGCACAATACACTAGTCATGCTGCATGTTTTTGTTTTCAGCTAGCAGACAAATCAATACATGTTTTTTGCAATTATTATATGGCAATATACAGTATGGCAATTTTTTTATCTCAAATTTAATTCGGACAGCAAATTCACAATCACAGCTCAGGTAAAATATATATATTTTTTGTCTCACTCTTAGCAATTCAGTAGCAGCGGTATAGTTTCAGGCGGTATTATAAAGACTAATGTTATTCATTGATATTTGTATTTTTTACAGTCGCAGAAATTTTCACATATTTCCTTTCAGCGTCTGAGGGAAATTGTTAAAATATCAGCAAACGCGTTAACTACAATGACAGAGGATGAGTACTGTTTCACTATTTCCACAAATAGTCAAGCAATTATTAAATTAAGGTTATCAGTCTCATGAACATGCAAATAAGAAAGTTAACCCACAGTTCATAAAGTTACAGTGTGAAATCTCGACACTTGAGAGATGAAGCAAATACAGGAGTGAATACAGGAATTAAAAATGAAGTAAATACAGGAGTAAATACAATACACATATATTTTGTTCAGTTGAATGTGCGCATGTAAGTTATATACTCAAATACTGCCTGTGCCGCTTGTGTTTCTTACCTGCTGGTGCTTTGATCAGAGGGGGCGGGATTAAGGGCACTATGATTGGCAGGCCTCCGTGCTCCTTAGAGGAGGAGGGGTTTACAGACACCTCGGTTGTCACTCCATTCCTTGATGTCGGAGTAGAGCTAGAGCTGTTGGCGTGTGGAGAAGAACCACTGCTGTTCTCCACTGTGGATGCTTTTGGCAAAGAGTTCTCTAGAGAGGAGAGAGGAGTAATGGTGAGTAGTTTATGTCTCACAAACCAGGAGCCCAGGAGTCCATGTTAATTAAAACAAATCAATAATAAAAATAAATTGCTCTTCCTCTGAAACAATTTTCTTTTTGCGCTGACATCACTTAGGCCACATTACGGAAGTAAAATAGGTTGTGAACCGGGTTTCATACTGACTAAAGATTTGGCATGCGTATTCAATATTTATTTACTGCATATGGAGATGTTAAAACAACTGAACAGTGAACACATTTTCAAAATCAGTGTTTCATTTTTAAATTCACGAGTCATTCACAACTCTGGAGCCCTGGGACTCTAGCAATCTCTCAAATGCACACCTCCCATTACTGTTTTGACTTGTTACATGACTGAAAACTGATTAAAATAGCTCTTACAGAGTCCAGAGAAAGCATTTCCATACTACACATATACATTTCCACCTGCAGCAAATAAGACAAGATTCAACAAGGGCACCCAAACAGATTACTGGTAGATAGCAGAAAAGTCCATTTGTAACTCTAACGGCATGCTCGTTTAGAGACGATCATGGCTAAATGAGTTAATTAAGTCTGATTGTCCTTCGCCTAATCTCTCCACTTGCAGCAACGTCAACTAACAATAGTGATATATCGTAATCTGTGGCTGTGGATTTGTCTGACGGCAGAAAGTAATTAAGGAGAGCTTCACATGGCAGGCATGGTAGGTTGGAGAAATGTGGTGCTAGCTGGGAGCCTTCTAATGCCTAAATCACCATTTTCTTTAATGGAGGCTGGAGTATGGACTTAGCAAGGAATTAGCCAGCTCATTGTTTTGCCATCTCTTTCTCTGTCCCCACAGGGCCACAGAAAAAATGGCTGACAGTTTAAGACTCTCTAATGCTCTGGCACAGAGGCCATCCAGGAGACAGCATGGAGGGTGGGTTTAACAGAGTGTTCTTGGGGGAACGACAGAGGAAGTTCAGGAATTTAACACTGCATTCTCTTTTTAACAACATTTAAAATCTGACAGTCCTTGTTTTCGTTCCTGTCCTTGTCAGGATTTTGTGTCTTATTACCGCTCCAGAATTCCCTTTAGGCTCTTTCTGATGGCAAACAGGTTTGTTAAATGAAGCTGCTACAAAGAACCTATGAGAAATTAAGGGAGGATAATATGATAAAAAATTAATGCAAGTGCTGCATATTAGTGTCAGGTGTTCAGAGGGTCCAGAAGGTATAGTTAGATACTGAAACTTCCTCTGAATTAAAATCTTCAGAGTTCAGTCACCCATGGTGCCCAAATAATCTTGTCTGGACAACTAACCAAAATTACATTATCATTCAAAAGTTTGGGGTCGGTAAGATTTTTTTTTTTTTTTAACATAGTCTGATATGCTCACCAAAGCTACATTTATTTCATCATAAATACAGTAAAAACAGAAATACTGCTAAATATTATTGCAGTTTATTATTGCAGTCTGCAGTGCCACTTGATCCTTCAGAAATAAGATCATTCTAATATGCTGATTTGGTGCTCAAGAAATATTTCTTAATAATATAAATGTTGAAAACTGTTGTGATGCTTAATACTTTTGTGGAAACCGTGATACATTTCTTGATGATTCTTTGATGAATAGAAAGTTCAAATGAACAGCATTTATTTTAAATGGAAATTTTAACTGTAACATTATAAATGTCTTTACTGTCACTTTTGATCAATTTAATGTGTTCTTGCTGAATAAAAGTATTAATTTCTTTGCAGAAAAGAAAACAAATCTTACTGACCCCTAACGGTAGTGCACTTTTGTGTTTTTTTTTCCGACCATCTATATGCTATGTGTCAATCTTATTTTACCTTTCTTCCAAAGATAAAGTTCTGTGTATGTGTCAGGTCTCACCTTTCAGGACAGAGATGTGTTGCCGCATTTCTCTATCAGGGTAGTTGCGGATCTCTATGTCATCTGAGTCTCGTAACTCCACTTTGTCATATCCGTACCATCCAAGCAACTCATTCATGGTGTTTTCAGCAAAACTCTACAGAGAGAGAAAAAGAGAGTTTAAAATGCAATTGTATTTTTTGGAAGTAATTTTTTGTCTGTAAGAATCAACTAATTTATGTTACTGCAAACAATGCTCACGTATCATAGGTTAATTCTATTAAAAACTACTACTCATTTCATAATGCATTCTTACTGAAAATGCCTACACACACACACACAGAGGGAATCTGAAAGAGTGAATAATTGCAGTCTGTTTGAGAGGTAATTATTGAGACAATAATTGCAAAAACCTCTGAGTGGCAGATTTTGCAATGCGGATAAACAAAATCTCCACAGGTAATCTTATTTTATGGCTACTGTGAACCAAGGCCAAAAGTAGTTTCATCTAAGAAATCCACTAGCTCATCGATAGACCAAATCTGACTGAAAATAGCTTCAAAAGTTTCAGCTCCATATCCTAAGAATGAAATCTGGAGAGGCTATAGACTGACCAGGGCATCAAACAAACATTTCACAAACAACACTAAGCCAGACAACCGGAGAACAGAAGAGGAAGAAGCATTATTAACAAATCAGAGCAGAATCCATGCAGCTTCAAACTTCTAGACAAAAAAGTGTGGGTCATACTATGAGTTTATAAGATTTTAATACCCATTTGCTCTGCTGACTAATTTTTTAACATTACCTAAAAAGAGCAGTTATATGTGTGAATCGTTGTAAATGTTTGCTTAATGAATAAAAACCTGCTTCTATGCAGAGCACAGGGTGTTGTTTTAATTTATAGAAAAAAATCTAATTATATTATAAAATTATATTGAATATATAAATTCAAATAAAAAAAAGTTAAATGAATTGTAAAAAATATATATATAAACATTAAATTTATTATTTTTCCCACATTCATCTCTAATACATAAGGGAGCATCTGAACATTCAGATATTTATTTCTATATATGTATTTATTTTTGTCACTTTTTCTGTTTTAGTCAGTCTGAGGGAGGCTCTCACCATCAAGTAGGGCGAGTTGCCATGGAGATTGCCTGCCTGCCCCACCCCTGGGAGGGGCCGATTGGACGGTACCTGATGAGACACGAGTCAACACTGTCAATCAAACATAGAAACTGTCAGTCAATCGCATTAACTGTCAAGCAGCATACTATTATTATGTGTTTTCGGATGGATACATACTTGGTTAATGTGGTTTGAATGGGCCTTAACATTTACTATAGTAAACGTTCAACTTTACTCTTTAACAACTTTACTCTCCAGTATACAATACAGCACTACATTAATAAACATAGACATGTAATCTAAATAAAAAAAAAAAAAAACAGGCTAAATGAGGGATTCACTCTAATGTAATGTTATATAGTATAATGTAATATAATGATTCATAATTGGATCGTTGTACAGCATATTTAAAAGCACTCATGTACATTTCCAGCATAAACTGATGAACAGCCCTTCTCCACTCCTTCCCTGCACTTCTGCTGTACGGCCACCAGGTGTCTGTCCTGCCTCTGGTCTGTAAGGTGAGGCATCTATTTCAGGATTGAGTTCACAAGGTCAGTCACAATACAGTAATCACACCCTATCCACAGGAAACCCTACTAGACTGTATCAGCACAGCACGGATCAATCTAGAATCACCTAAGCTTTGCTCTAAAGTGTTTTGGGCACTTCTAGAGTTCTGATTGTCTGGGGACACCAGCTGAGCTGAGTTTAGAGGGGACCAACAGTTCAAGAGGGCTCACCTGTCTTACAGTGTTAACAAGGGGTCACACATATTCATCACAGGGTCAAAGGTGAGGCCACATTTGGCTTGGGGACAGTGATTCTTTATTATTAAAAAATACAAATTTATATTAACAAATTTTATACATTTATAGAAATGGAGTTTTAAAAATATTCTCATAAAAACAGGGTGCCCAGTGCTCATACTTTTAAATACAAAGGGCCAAAAATTGATTGAGGTAAATGTTAATGTTGCAATATTTTTTACTATATTATATTAAAATATATTAAATAAAAAAAAAGAATAAATAAACACATCTAATTTTTACAAATTAGTTTATATTGTTGTTTATATTTCAAAAATATTTTTTAATTATAGTTAAATGAAGATATGCTTAATGTTTTTCTCCCTATTTTTTCCTTCCTGAATATAAACCTAACAGACCACTCAGATCATTAGGATCAAGTCAGTTAGAAATATCAAGGGTTCACACAAAACAAGGGGAGTCTGCTTTTAGTTATTATGCCGCCCGCAGTTGGAATCAGCTTCCAGAAGAGATCAGATGTGCTAAAGCATTAGTCACATTTAAATGCAGACTCAAAACTCATCTGTTTAGCTTTGCATTTATTGAATGAGCACTGTGCGATGTCCGAACTGATTGCACTATATCTTATGTATAATCGTTTTCTTAAATTCATTTTAAACCTCTTAAATCGATTTTTTAAATCATTTTCTAAGTTTTTAAATTCCTTGTTTTATTGTTGTGATTATTTTTTT